GAGACAGACGAGCCAGGTAAAGAAGAGGGAGGGGCTGACATGGGTTAATCTCGCACTGCCTACGTGCATGTGTGGGGGGAAGGACTGGTGTTTTCAGCGCTAATATAAAGTATGCAGTCACTTCTGGAGCTGGATTTTCACACACACGAGTATAAATTAATTAGTATCATTATTATTTCTACAGTTATAGCTACAGTAATAAAACAGTGTTTATTGGACTGTAGAGAATTATGTGGTCAGAAGAAACAGAGTTTTTCCAAATCTCAGATTCAGCACCACCTGTTCTCTGTTGACCTCCAGCAACCCCTCCCCCTCCATGTACTTTCATTCAGGGAGTAGCTTAGCAATTTAACTAAATAGGCTTACATGTCAGACTCATCTGCTTTGCCAACCTCCACCATCACTTGTGCGCTTTTTCACAGTTATGCAAACACTTAAGTTGCTTAGATTCGCTGTCAAGCTGCTTGGTCATGTTGGCTGGGCTGTGAGACGCATAAATTTAACACATGGACTCTAGAAAACAGGTCTGCTCAGCAGTGGATTCAGTATCAGTATTAAGTGCTCTGTTTCCGTCGGTTTACTGTTGGGCCTTAAGCCAGCTAGAGAAATGAAAGTTGGACAGACGGCCAAAAATGACGATAACTAAGCCCATTAACTCGTCAGGATAAGCATCTTTCCTGTTGAGGATTATTACAAACTGACCCACATTGTGATTCTCGCTTGGTTTTTCCTTTCTTTCTTTTTTTTTAGCTCTTCACGTGGTTCACCAGACAATGTAGAACGAAATTTAAAAAATAAAAACAATATGTATTTACAGCAATTATACATCTATTTAAATATTTCCATTATCTAAAATTGATTCAATTATTTAGCCAACTATTGAGCTTGGCTGCTTCCATAAACTCACAGCAGAGTCTATGCAATTAAATAGATGATTCATTCATTTCATTTATTGCTTTTTTATGATTAGTGTCTTGTGGTACAAGAATGTTTCCCATATACAAGCTTAAAAATTGTGACATATGATGTAAACACTCTCTTTTCAGTTCAGGTTATCTGAAAATTGTTATACAAACATAATAACTTTTACTTTGTTTTCATACACACTGTGGTGTCTGCACATAAGCTGAATTATATTTATATGAGTTGGATGGATGTCTTGTCGTAGCCCACATATTTAGCTACACTCAGTACGTTTACATGCACAGTTTAATTCCACTTTTAATCGGAATGAAAGGCCATTCCGATTAAAAGTGGTCATGTAAACGGTCATTCCGATTGAAAAACGGTCATTCCGATTGAAAAACGGTCATTCCGATTGAAAATTAAATCCGATTAAAGGGGGTGGTTTATTCCGTTCGTCATTCCGAATTAAGTTCATTCCGGTCTTTCTGCGCATGCTCGTTTCCTTGCCCTTCTGGCGCGATGACGTATATAGCGCGCATAGCAACGGGCTGCATAGCAACGGGCTGAGATAGAGCAGTCGGACTTGTTGCACTCACCGGTTTCCATTCGCCACAGCACGGTCTTCTACCTCCCTTCTCCTCCTCAACAGATGAAGCATTAGCAGAACAAGGTTGTTGTCGTACTGCTGCTTCAAGAATATAAGCAAAACACAACCGAAAAAGGCACTAAGAACGGCGTCGTCAAGCATCTTGTTATCCGGAGCGAGGACTACAGTGTTTTCTTCCGGTAAACGTAAACACGTAACATCCGCCCCGCCGCCTATCCAATCAGAAACGTTCCCTGGCCCAAACCTTGCACAGACCCGAATAAAGGCGACTGAACTGATCTCCCATGTAAACCCTCATTCGGAATGAATATTTCCCATGTAAACTACCTGGAAAGACTTTAATTCCGAATGATTTCAATCAGATTTATTTCATTCCGAATGAGAAGCTATCATGTAACCGTCTACCATAACTCCAGAATTTAATTTAACTATTTAATGGTAAATAAATGTACCGATTATAGATCCAGTGCATTAAAACATCATTGCCTGTATTTAAAGGTCAGCACATGAACTGAAACCTACATGTTTTATTATTTATTTTAACTTATTTGAAAAAACAATCCCATCACACTGATAGAGGACATTTGCAAAGTGTTGCTCCTGTGCTATGACTTTAAGATAGAAACAGTCTCACTGAGGCTGCATTTGCAGGCTTGTAAAACTAGCCAGGCCTAGTCTTGTCTCAGTGAAAATCATTATCCAATTATGTGTAGGTGTATCATTAAACACTTAAGTTGGTACATTTATTATGGTTGGCATTTTTAGCATACACTGCTATGTTGATCAGCTTGTTAGGTCATTCCTAAAATAGTTAACTAGCCCGTTCAGATCAGGGCCTGCACAATGTGGTGACACGTGTCTCACCATGTTTGTGTTTACACACATCATAATCAACTTATTGCATTTCCTGGTTTTGCACAAGGAGATTCAAACACATGGTCGACTCTGTCTACCTAACAAATGTAAATTCAGTGGTAAATGTTGATTTCACAGTGTAATAGCTATAGAATATGAAACCACCTTTACTCTCTAGAGAACCATGTTTACTTCCTGTCAACTGATGCAGACTGTAAAACATTCCAACAGGAAATACAAAGGGACCCATTTAGAATGTTTATGCTGCCAATTTTAAAACGTAGACTGTATAGATAAATAATAAAGATGGACAACATTGCAGCTTCCCAAAACATCTCAGAAATAGTTTCTAAGGCCCTGATCACACAGAAAGGGTTTTAGCAGCTGGAGGTGTATTTTTATAATTGTATTTAATGAGAAGCTTTTTGCGTGCTGTTTTTGCGTTGCTATGTGCCACACGTTTCTGCACTTAGCTGCCTGGCATTTTTGCTGGAGTACTTTCAACTCAGAGTTGAAAAAAACATCAACTCAGAGTGGAAAAGTGCCCCACATCATCTCCGCTTTTTTTTCCCATTGTCCAAACAGATAATTTGAGAGACAGGCCATGTGTGGTGGTCACGACAACAAGTTTACAGTTGGTGAACAGTGGGGGAGAAACTGGTGGTAGCGAGCTATATGACTTTACAAACTGCTGTTACCACCATCTCAATAGAAAACAGCAGGCGTGGAAGCATTTAAGTGCAGTACTTGAAACTGCCATCATCGAGGCGAAGCTCCTGGACCAGCTGGTGGTAGTCCCTGTGATCCACCATCTTTTTTAGGGCATCATGTACTCACACAGATCTCTGTTTCCCTGTGCCCAATAAACTATTTGCTGACAGCCTCTCACCCTCAACCAGAGCTACAGCAAGTACCTTCTGTCTGTCCATTTTAGGAACTAGATAGTAATTACTGTCAAATAAATGAAAGGTAGATTGATTACACAGGAAGGTTAGGGGCAGCAAGCATTTCTTTACTGTTGGCATTCGATTAAAAAAGAAAAAAAGGCAGTATGATGCACCTCGCTTTTCCCAACCTGCAAAACACTGTCTGGGTAATCGGGGCCCAAGCCTCACTTTCACTATGCATTTCTGTCTGCCACCAGGTACTGTATGATCTCCTGAGAAAATTAAGGCTCCATTTATGGCACAAAGGAAGTGTGTCAACCATTGCGCAACCAAACCAAGAAGAGGATAGCACTTACCAGTAGGTCTAAATGAGCATTCATTAATATAATTTACTAAGGTACCTACTCTGCAGTGGGCTATTTATAATTATTTAGTACTTTAACTTTGCAGCATTGGTGGTGAAAGCAAATGACTCTGTCCACATGCTATCAAATCCTAGCCTGGAAATCCAGACTCAAATCTATAAAGATTTTGAGTCTGGCCCTCACCGATACACCCTTCCTACCCAAGGGGCGACACTAACTGAGGCATTTCAAATGCCGCCGCACACAATTGGATAGCATGATGGCCAATCAGAGCAAAATACAAGGTGACGTATTCATTGCACTAAGCCCCATTTGTCTGCCGAACAGTGGGGCTAACTGATATATTATGCTTTTGCCGTATCCCGTCGGCAAAACGGCAAAAACGTCCTTCCTGGACATTCTCAAGGAAAAAGATAGGTGTAGTTGGCTTGGCGTTTCTTCCAAAGCTAAACTGAATGGAGGCGGTCCTTCAGCAGCTGCCATCTTGGCTGTTTACTTTTGGACACCTACGGCGCAGCGCTGTCGTCATCATGTTATGCCCGCCCAGAGCCCGCTTCTGTCAGATAGACTGATCTGATTGGTCCAATTGGCGATTCACCGGGCTCTGCTTGTCAGGGCCAGATCCCCGTGCAGTGCAGTGCAAATTTGAATTTGCTAGGGGTGGGGCATCTGGATTTCCAGGTTAATTAAATCCTCTATTCTTCTCCAAAACTTTTCCTTTTTGGATTTGAAATCTATAACTAGCCTCGCTAAGAAGACTCCAGGCCACCGCTACTGAAGTTCAGCAAAACTTAGAGAGAAAGGCACCAGGTTGTAGACATATGACGCACATTCTAGTTGATGAAATGTTGATGCAGAACAACCACTGCGCTACCCGGCTTGTTCTTGGTAAGGTGCTCAAAACATCAATAACTGATGAAATGTTAAAACAGTGTTTAATTTGATGTATAGTACACATTTTTGCACTTGTAGAATGCAACACTTTAAGCCTACAACAATGACAAAGGAAAATCTGAATGTTAAAAAAAATCCGTTATTCATTCCCATATAATTTTATGTCAAAGCCACAGGGAGCCACTGAGGAGGGTCTAAAGAGTCACATGCGGCTTTAGAGCTGCAGGTTGCCTACCCCTGCTTTACAGAAATCCTACAGGTGATTTGTCTTTTGACTTGATTTTGATTTTGTCTGGGACCAAATATGAAAATCCCATAAACAAATCATTTTAATAAGTAAGAATGAATTCTCCAGATATTTTATGTGCTATAATATTAAAAAGAGTACATACAGTGTAGACACAGAGCCTTGCAGCGCTCACAGAGCCCTCAGCTCTCCGCCCACACCGTGACGTTTCAGGGAGAGTGTTGAGCCGACAGAGGAAAGCAGCTTTAATTGCAGGGCAGAGAGAAAAGCCAGCGATGGCTTCGCTCAGGCAGGAGCACCACTACGGGCTCTCCTGTGGAAAAAATAACAAAAACAGCCCCAACAGGACCCTGTACCATGTCAAGCTCACGGACACGGCTATCAGAGCTCTGGAGGCTTACCAGAACCTCAAGGTACCCTTTCCTCGTGTGTTTGTGTGTGTGCGCGTGCGGATGGATTCACTCTTTTTAAAGTTGTAGGCTGGGCTGTTGTGTTTTCTAAATTGTTTCACTGTCCCGTGTTGTTAAATTACTTTTTTTTCTGTCGTATTTTATTCTTAAAATAACGTGTCTTTGTAGTATCATTAAAAGAAAATAAATGAGAGTAGCACAAACCAGTGTCCAGTCACCTCTGAATCACTTGGCTCCATCGCAGAGTCGCACGCACAGGCAGGACTGAGCCCTGTGGTTGTCGGGAAAGACGAGCCCGTCAGCTGTTTGCTGGGAAACCTTCCCTGTGCTTCAAAGTGAAGCACACACAGCCCGCAGTCTGCCAACTTATCTAACTGACAAGTAGCCGAGGTTCATAATTAGCTGCTGAGGAGACCATTAACAGCACGCAGGCATTATTGATTGTGTAACTTAAGTTTACATGTAAACACATTACAACATCAGTTTGTTTACTGGACTAGATTTTTCTGAATATGTTCAACTATGTAACAGTAGTCTTTCTCTCACTTCAGGTATCTTTACCAAGTGAACCCTCCATTTGTTTCAAGGGAAACCAAGGGGTAAGTTTTTAACTGTGTTTATAAGTATTTTATCCTGTTATAAATAAAATCAAGCAGATAAAACTTCCAAGTGATGTCTACATGCATAAACCAGCTTAGCTCAGCTGATTTTGTCAGTAAAGCAACATATCACTCTGACTTATAAGAGACAAGAATGTATGCAACATCACATCTTAAATTCTGCCACCTCAAAGGAGCTTTTGTTTGTCACACAACTCGCACGTCCCACCATACTGCAGCAGTGGGAGCGCTCAGATGGGAGCTTATAGTTGGACGTCTCCAGCAGATAGGAGGCATGCAGGTTACTGGGTCAGGCTGGTGACTGTGGAGAGGCTTTGTTAGGTCAGCAAGCGGCGCTGGGAAAAAGGATGGGAGGGAGGCAGGGAGGGAGGGAGGGAGAAGTTTGCACACACACTGTCAGAGTTAGTCTTTGGGAAAATATATGTTATTACTACATATGTGTGAATGTGTTTTCAGTGTGTGTGATACATGTAGACACTCGTGAATCAGTAATACTCTTGTGTTCTTGAAACAGAACCATAATCTGCAGTATGCAGCCTGAGCTATGTGTGTTTTGACTAAAGTTAGGAGCAGCTGTGTCCTTGGGGAATACTTCGCAGTTGATTCTAATTGCACGGGCTGCTTGGAAAGAGTTGCAGCCCCCTTCCTGTCATGACAAGATGAGCTGAGCAGTAGAGGGCTGAGTACGGAGGCTTGTGAGGTTAACAGACTGGATTAAACCTGTAAGACTGTGCTCGGTGTTGGAGCGTGTGTTGCTCCTTCTTAGTCGGCACCGAGGTAGATCTTAACAGTTAGTTTTAACTGAAAGGTGGTTGTAACAGAAATCTTTTTTTTTTCCTTGAGGGGTTGAAGTCAAATTAATTTTTACTTCCTGCCCATCGTTACTTTTATGTGGTGGGTGGGGCTTTCTAATGAATTCAGGTAGTTTCTGTCGTCTCCAAAGTGGCTCCTGCACAGACTGACAGGATACCTCAGGGCTGTCTGCCCCAAGAGGCAGGTCTCTGCTCAGGGTCAAGTGTTGGAGGTCAGAGATCAGTCGGTCAGCTTTTTTCTGGCTCTGCAGATCCCAACTGCTAAGGCACGAGGCTTTGACAGGAATATGTGTGGCGTTAAATTAGAAGAAAAGCTGCAAATCTAATCCACAGCTTCACAGCTCACACACTAAACTGTGGGACTGAGTGTGTGCTAAGAAGTCGTCAGCCATAAAACTTGGCTGTATGACTGAATTCAGTCCATTTTTATCGGAGAAACTAACATACCTGTAAAACAAAGTGTTTTAAATGGACACACTTGCTTTGTCCTGCACCCCATGCAAAGTAAATGCCACCTGTTAGAATGAAAGAAAAGCCATTAAACTGATCACACTGATGATATGGTTGTATTTTCTCAACAAGGATTCATGCTAGTCAAATATAGCACAGTGCCATATTAAATACTGTCTCAAAACATGTTTGGAGACCAGAGCGAGGCCTTGGCCTGTTATCTGAGGTTTTACACCATAACAGTTCATCTTCGCACCGCTGCTGTCAGTGTCATAACTGAGGGATCGCAGGGAATTTCACACTGCTCCCTGTATGTGGCACCGAGAGCCAAAGTTATTAGCCAAATGAATGTTTAGAGGTAATTACAGGAGCTATAATGCTCCTGATTACAGCGTGAGGCATCATGACTTCAGTTTGCAGAAGCTTTCCCCGTCTGCCTGACTCAGACGCTCATGAATGTGTGTTTTTGTACGTGTGTAGCTTTGGCACACTTTTGCTGCAGTAATAGCGAGGCAGATGACATGAACTCTCTGCCCTGCTAATTTTCCTGTCCCATTCCCAGGTTGGAGACCCACTTTTTCTGTGTGTGTGTGTGTGTGTGTGTGTTACGAAAGAGAGAGCACACCTTGTATGCCACAGTGGTGTGTGTGTGGATTGCATGCTGTTCATGTATGCACGCATCTTAATGTATTAAATACTTGCATTTGTTTGCTATGATGCGGGTGTGGCTGTTTTTTTAACGTGTGTGTTTATGCTGTGCCCTGTGTGGCCTAAAGGCATGATTTATTCATGTCCCACCTCCCTTTTTCCTGTCCTGCCCCCTCTGCTCATTGTGCAGCAGTCTTTTGCTCGACCAGACCAGAGTGGATCCCCTGAGGACCCTCTGTGTGTGGTGTGTGTGTGTGTGTGTGTGTGTGTTTGTTTTTTGGTTTGCCTGTGTGTATGAAAGAGAGAGGGAATTTTTGGCACTTACTTTTCCATGAGTATCTGTGTAGGATTTTTCATCTGTGTGTGTGTGTGTGTGTGTGTGTGTGTTTACGCTGCCTGTGCTGAGATCCCCAGAGTCCCCCTCTGATTGTGTGTTGTCTCCTCTGATTTGAATAACAATGAATAGGGGAATGCAGGCTGTGTGTTGTCACCCTCTTTGGATCACCCAAATTGAATCGAGTACAGTCAGTCCTGATGTGTTGTGGCCTGCCTTCAGGGTTTGTTTGTACCCAACATGATAGAAACTTCCCTGCTGTGGATCTAATGCAGTGGAGACTCAAATGGAGAACACCACAAACATCCTCCATCATAAACATTAAGTTACTTACCTGTGACCAAAGTTTGATGTCAGACTTTTGACATCTTTAGGTTTTTAACACGGGAAACACTGATGTCTCTTTGATTGCAGCAGAGGCTGAATTATTCAAGACATAGGTATAAAAAACTGTCTAATTATATATAACTACAATGTAAATCAATGTAAAAATGCACTCTGAAGTCATACATAAATCATCTTGAAACTTTAAACTAAAAAAGTACTTAACCCATGGATGAAATGTAGGGCAATTAACAATTTAAGAATTTACTTTCACATTGCAAACAAGCTTTCACTTTCTTCAGTGTATTGAACATGCCATTTGTTATAAGTGTGTGTTGTTTTCTCATAGATCACGTTAATCACTGTGTGCCCATGAAGGGAGAAATTGTTGAGGGATTATGGTGTTTTAAACACTGGTGGTTATAGCTTGCTACTTTGTCTAAAAAGCCAAGAATGAAAATCTTGTGCATGGACTCGGATTACATATTTATTTAGCGAGCATGTGTGTGTGTGTGTGTGTGTGTGTGTGTGTGCAAGATGAAGACAAGCAGCCCTCTGAGATCCAGAGGCAGCGGCTCCAGAAAAATGCACTCTCTGTCCGATTAAGAAGCTTGGAGATATGGAGCACATCTTGGCTCGCTGAGGAACGTGTCCCGTCTAATTCCCTCATGTGAAAATCCACACCGTGAGCTAATGAGGCATAAAAGGGCACTTGTTTCTTTCCCCCCACACACGTGTGTCATGGTATGGCCCTGCAATGTGTGGAAGCATTCTGTGGAAGATCCCACCTAGCTTCGGAGAGGAGAAGGAGGGGCTTTTGTCAGACACAGTGACCCACAATTTGTTAAAGTTGACAGTTTGGCCCTCAGGCACCTGCCAGAGACATATCGTTCTTGGCATTGGAGGGAGAGACCTCGGGGGATGCTTGCGCCACAACATCCTTAATATCCTCCCTCCTCCTCCTTCATGCCCAACCTCCTCTCCCCCAAATACTGGAGCTTGCAGTTCTGGCAGCAGCTCTGTCCCTCTGTGAAATTGCAAATGAAAAGGAATGGAAGGCGATTACAGGCTTGGGCTTGATTACATGCACTGTCTCCCACTCAAGGCGGCCACATTAATCACTCAGTGCCAGCATGTGGAGCTCAGCTAGAGAGACGACACTGCGGAGCTTCAAGCATTGACTGATTGACTTTGGGATCGTAAACACACACGAAAACATGCAAAATCCATAGTTTGTCTCTTTGTATGTCCTTCTCTGCTGCCCCCCGTCCCTTGTTCCTCCACTCGGCCGGAGACACAGACGCACATTGTGTTTTGTATCTCTGCCCTCTATTGTGGAGGGGACTCTTCTTAAATGGCATGTGTCAACTTGTGGCCCTGGGAACAATTCATCTCTTTTGTTTGTAATGAGATGATGAGACATAGTGTTTAGTGAGGATGAGGGTGGCTGGCTGGCTAAGCGTGTGTGTGTGTGTGTGTGTGTGTGTGTGTGTGTGTGTGTGTGTGTGTGTCTTTTTGTGTCTCTAAGCCAGTGGCGGAGATGTTTGGCTGATAGCTAGACTTTGGCCTTTCTCCCTCCTCAGCCTTATGAGTGGCAGTAATGCTGATTACACCCTGGTGAGAGGAGCTGGAGCTGAGCCTGTCTTTGCTCACGCTGGATTAACACAGACACACACACACATGCACACACACACACACACACACAGTTTGCATTAGCACCAGGGCCCAGAGTGACTTGCCTCCTGCTGATAACAGACAGCGGTGGTGGCGACAGGTTTCACTCCCTCCTCCGTCTCCTCCTCCTCCTGCACCTCCTCCCTCTCCTCCTATCAACCAGAAAGGGGAAGCAGTGCCATGGCATCCCACTCTGGAGCCGAGGAGGCCAGAACAAAAGACGGCCTGTTTTCAGAAGGCCATTACTCAGGCTGCAGAGGATGTGGAAACAATAGCCTGCATGAGATCTACACCCAGACCCCACATTCAACCAAAAGCTAGCAGGAAACATAAGCCCTGCGCACCGACAGCAGTCTCTCACAGTTTTTGTTCAATCGACTTTATAGTTTGTTAAAGCCAGGAAAATGAGCCTCTCCCGTCCTGCGTCTTCAATGTGTGGAGACATTTATGACAGCCGAGAGTGAACTGTGGCTCATTAAGATAATGTCGCCACACATAGTGACAGTCTTGACTTGTGTCAAAATTTTAGCTGCTGATGGTTTTTCAGAAATGGCAGTATGGTTTTCTGTATTTGTCAAGTGGAAATTTCAAATCTGATGCAGGTCAATGGAATAGTCCTCAACCACTAAAAAGTCATAGGTTATCTCAACAGGCTTGTGTGTGCCATAAAACGTTAATATTAAAATGAGAAATGATAATTAAAAAAGAACCAGAAAAGAAACAGTGAACCAAAATAT